AACTTTACTTTCTCTTTTGGAACTAATTTCAGTCTCAAGTTACTGTGCTTTATGCGTAGTCAAGTTCTGAAAATGTTAATCTTGAAATACTACTTCCATACTAAAGACAAAAAATGTCCAACTACCACCTCGAGTGGGCAAGATGAAGCGAACCTTGCGTTCTAATTGGCTGCTCAAGTGGGCAAGATGAGCCCATTTTGCCCACTTTGGATTTCCCGCGTTGGTCCCACAAGTAAAAGTTCTCTTCTTGGCCATGTAATAATTCATTTATTGACCAAGCTTGTTTGTTCAAGATGGCTGAATATTGGCCTCATTCATTTTTGCATTTTTATTGACCAAGACCAGGCTGTGCCCTGAGCCCTGTGGCACCTACATCTGTAACTTTTGTTCTCGGGCAACTAGAAAATCTTTCCTTTTTCATAGAAATCACTTGCTGGGCACACTGGATTTCACAAGTTCAGAGTGCTGGGCTCCCTTCAATTTTTCTTAGAGCACAGCCTTGCAAGAGGAAGGCAGGGTCAATAAAGATGCAAATATTCAGCCATCTTAACCTCACACCCAGTCAATAAAGCATAATTATTTATTACAATTTTATGGTTGAATCCATGAGCCGGCAAGATGAAGCAAATCCTGTGTTCTAATAGGCTACTCAAGCGGGCAAACCAATGAAGCTTGTTTGGTGAAGACAGCTGGGTATTGGCCTCACAAAATAGAGCTTGGCCAACACCCAGCCATCTTGACTGAATGTTGGTCAATATTGCATGATCATTTATAGCAATAATAATTATTAGAACTTTGTGAACATCTTTTCCAGAAAGGCATTTTATATTGCTTTAAAAGGGCTATGCTATATTTTGTTCTTTGAGAGGCTTAAATGTGTCTTGGCGTAAATTAAGTTCCAAAAATTATTATGGTCCACTTTTGTTATTCAATACTTAATTGAGGCATTGGGACTGTTTCCCATCACTTCTTGCTAGTACGTTGCATGACAAAGATGATCATGGATTGAAACTTGGCCAACTTTTTTAAGCTTAAAATAATGCTATGGCTGCATAAATCACCAACAATTATTATGGTTTGTGCTTCCTGATGAAATTGTCTTGATGCATGTATCTTCTTCATACTGTAACTCTACAAGTCGAGCATTTTGTGTATGGTCATATAAGTAAGTGGTATATGATCATACGGGATAGTATAGTACTTAGTGGGACTGTTGACAGGAACTGATGTTTTGACAATGGCCATGAAAATGATGATCACCTTGTTGTCAAAACGTTAGTCGCTGTCAACAACAGTCCTACTCATGCCAGGACTACAATGTACATTCACCCAACAAATCATATTCCACTTTGTGGAAATATTATAGACAACCAAAACTATCACTAGCCGTAAGCTGCACATGAAAGTGTTTATCACTATCTGCTATAAAGGATATTAATTTGTTAAGAGATTTGACATTTTCTTTACAAAAAAAAAACTACGTAGTGCTACAGAAAATTTCTAGTGGATTTGTTAAAGGAAGCCTCTTACTCTCTTTCTTGTTCATTGATAGTGTGAATAGGCACTCATACTTAAAATGTAATTTAACTTAACCAATGTAATGAATAAACAGGGGCGTAGCTAGGGGGGTCCTGGGGTGCCCCTTGCCCCCCCTTGGTAGGCCTTCTTTTGAGCAAACAACCTACAATATTCAGGTGGCGAAAACGTCATGACACGCCCACTTTTTTAAAATTTGTTTTTTGTAAAGTGTGTTCGTCAACGGCTCTTGTCTTTCGTTAATATGGGCCTTCATGCCGCTATAATACGACTGGGCCCGCTGATACACGAGGGAGAGCAGCGGTATAAACCATATATAGTCGGCGATCCCCGGATGGTGATCTGGTGAGTAGCCTCTGTGACTCGCCCTTTGAAAAATCCTGGCTACGCCCCTGATAAACATTATAAGAAGACCTGATTGTCAATTCAGGAAGCAAGGAGAATAAAGAAAATACTTGGAAAGATTGCTTTTGTATTACTTTGTGCAATAAAAATGTCGAGAGAATGGGTTTTTGTTACTATAGATGGCGGGAAAACCACCCAACATGGTGAAAAGCGCTTTTTTCACGATGGAAATAACTTGAAAACACCAGTTTCCAACTCGTAAACTCGTGTTTCCGCAATAGTTACATCCGATTACGTTGACGGAAACATGAAATTGACTTGTTTCCGGAACGTTTTCGCGTGTTTCCGCAAGGATGCCAAGCATTTACGCTTGCGGAAACACGTGTTTGCTTACACGGAAATTTGACGGTACGATTCCACCGAAAACGCAGCGACGGAAACACGGGTAAACGTAATGTATCCGCTACGGGAAACATGTGGTTGCCGTCACGTTTCCGCAACGGTTTTACGTGTTTACGTTAAGTTTCCATTTACGGATTCTTGAAATTTCGTCCTGTGAATTTGTTGGGGTTTTGATTTTTGACCCCATTCGATCATCCCTGTCACTTGAAATTCTGGAGTACCTCGCCTGAAGACGGGAGCCCAGCATAAAACAATGAAATGTCATATCAAGTAAAACGGGGCAAAGAGGGTTTTTTGAATATCGAAAGTCATAATTCACAAACTGGCTCTCTGTGTCAATCTCCTTTATCAATAAAGCAGGGCAGCATCTCTTTTTTTCAGACTTAGTGAGTGGAGTGCACGCGAGTGTTGAGCGAAGACGCGAGAAACGAGATTTCTTAAAATCAATTTCGAATTTCCACATTTCTACAAAAAAAATGCGCGCAAGGGAAAATTAAATGAAAAAAAATTCTTGCACGCCAATTAATCCTAAAAAAATATTCATGCTATAGCCTAAAAAAGATTCATACAAGGAATTGATAACGAAAAAAAATTCCTGCGGCTCGAAAATTCCCCTCCCCCCCTCATAACTTTTCTAATGGTCCGTCCCTTACTCATTTGGAACTGAAACATTTTTTTTACAATAAACAAGTTGTCGTATTATATCGTGTAATGCTTTCTGAAAGTTTTTATGGCTCTGAAATTCGGCATCGGAATTTCTTTTGCTGTTAAATTTCGGTCCAGGGATTTTTTTGGTTCAACCTTCAGGCCTTTTTGGGGGGTTTTGATTTTTCCCCCTTTTGATCGTCCCTGTCACTTTTAAATCCGGAGTGCCCCCCTTCCGGGCTTTCAAGGGAACTACCAAAAAGGGGACGAACTTATTTATTGTTAAAAAAATTGTTTCAATTCCAGATGAATAAGAAGGAAAGAGAAATACGGAAATTCGAAATGGATTTTAAGAAATCTCGTTTCTCGCGTCTTCGCAGTTTGTGAATTATGTCTTTCCCTATCTTATTCAAAAAACCCTCTTTGCCCTTTTTTACTCGATATGACATTTGATTGTTTTATGTCACATCTTGGGCTCCCGTCCCCAGGCGAGGTACTCCGGAATTTCAAGTGACAGGGATGATCGAATGGGGGAAAAATCAACCCCCCCCCCCGACACACACACCAAAAAAAAAGGCATGGGAACGAGGTTGAACCCAAAAAATCCCTGGACCAAACTCCGTAACACCAAAAAAAATTCCGATGCCGAATTTCATAGCCATAAAAACTTCCAGAAAACATTACATGATCTAACGCGAAAATAGAAACATAAGTTTTAATAACTCCAAAAAAGTCCCTACTGAAATCGAGGTACTCCAAAAATACGTGCCAAAATTTTCCTTTCCAAAAATCATACCGCAATCTAAAATTTTCAACTTCAAAAAATCCTGGAATCTGGCGAGCTCTCTTCCCCCCTTGGGAACCATACCCGGTTCCAACCTCGTCCACAGGGCGCTTTTCCCTTAGCAAACTGTCTAAACCCGTTTTAAGACCAAAACGGCGCAAATATCCTACCGTTTTGGGGCGGCACATACCTATATAAATTGACATTTAAACTGCAAAGGACCGCATACGAATATGCCCCAAAACGTAGGATCTATAGAAGACCTGATCAGCAAAAAATACACTGAGTAGACCGGGGAGTAGACACACTGAATTTTACAAAGCTGGTCGCACTACGTGAAAATGAACTTTGCAAGACATCAACACAACATCGAAAGAGCCCAAAACAGAGCGGGGTCGTAGCGGTAGACAGCTGTTTCGCCGTTTTTGCAGAATTCAGTGTGTCTACATACCTATATGGCTAATATAGGAACGTCCCCCTCGGGGACAATAGACTGCTTTATTCCAGCAATTAGGGGTAGGGCTTCCCACAAGTTGCTCGAGATTTCCCAAAAGCTTTACCGAAATTTCTCAAAAAGATTGTTAAAGATATCAAAAGTTACTTTCTGTATCGGAAGTTGCTCAAAAACAAACCTTTCTTTTGGATGCTCATTTTATTTATTTGGTCTCATGCAAAAAATGTAAATTGAACAACAAAAGTAAGATTGCCATAATTGATTTTTTGTGAACCCTTTCGGGAGCTAACTATAAAACCGAATAGTTTATTTAGCTTCAGAGCTCCCACTTTTATTTCTCTTATATTATAAATTAAGTTATAACCTAGCACAAATTTCAGTTTTGTTAAGTTAAAAATCTTATTTCACCATGAGCATGAGCTAATTAATGAATCTATTACCGGTATACTCGTTTCCAGGCTTCCTCGACCTCTGTTGGTAGTGATTTTTGTTCACTAGACATTATATTGCTTCTACAAGCCTAACTTGGAAGAGTAAAATTCCATCCATAGTATGATAAAAACGCCCCCTCTGTCAAGTGAATCCTACTTATATGCGGTGTATATTAAGATGAGATTTTGTTTCGCAAGTGACCTAGGCCGGGAATTTGTTTTTATTCCCTTACCCCTGGGGAAAATCCTCAACTTCGCTCCACTCATTTTACAAACCCCCTGGTTGACCCGGGGGTCTACCCCTGGGACTAGCCAATGATGTTTTCGATGGGCGCTGGTTTACTTACCTGTTTGTATTTTTATTTTATTTTTCAAAAGGAAATTCTTCTATCCAAAGGGAAGCATGGCAAAAACCAAAGTGGAAAGCTTTGTTGCTTTTTTAAACGTGGCCAATCAGTATGACTTTTTCAAGCGTTTTAGTGTACGATTGACATCTTCCCAGCTTGACGCTATTCTTGAAGAACTTGAAAATGCTGTTGAAATAACTGACACGATCCCTAGGGCCGTTTCCATTGTTGGGCGAAACATTCAATCAGACAATCAAGAAATCTGGGCGCTGAATAGCGATCTCTTTATAGATGCCAAAGGCCGCCAAGTGGAGCAACCCCACTTGCGTTGGATAAGCCACCTCGTTGCCGGAGACCCGGGAAATCGCTTAGCAGATGAAAAGCGAAGTGCAGAAGTGCATCTTCCTTTATCAAAGTATTATTTTGATCTCGTTTGTCACCTGCTTCGTGGAGACATTCTTACTGCTGTAGAGAATGATGACACCCTGTCCCGAAGTTTAGATGTTGTACTAAGAGACGCCGGAATAAATCGAGATAGTATAACAGCCAATTTCGAAGCTGAAGAAAATGGGAACTTTTTAGCTTCATTCTACACTATAGCAATGAGCTTGATTATGGTTCATTATGATAAGGTAAGTGATAACTTTAAACAGCTATCATGAATTATTCATGTAAAATATTTCTCAATTTCTGATTTGCTCAGATCCCCGGTTCTTTTTTTCATAAAAATTTGCAAAACCAAGAGAGAGTAATGGTACAGAAACTGAATCTTAGAGCGTTGTCCGGGATAAGTGAATTGCAGTACAATTATTTTAAGAGGCTGTAATTAAACGGTAATAATTACTGAGACGTCTTCACATTTTAAGCCCCGCGCAAACGGGCGCAACATTGTTGACCAACAACTGCAAACATTTTTGGATGTTACATGTTGCATCCGTCTGCACACCCTGTTGCATGTTGTTGGATGTTGTTGCGTGTTTTTGCGCAAAGTTTGAAACCGGTCAAAGGCTGCGTGCAAAAGGACGCAACAACTCCCAATATTGTTGCGCCAACAATGTTGGGAGTTGTTGCGTGCATGTTGGCAGTGGTGTGCAAACGGATACAACAACTCCCAACAATGTTGGGACCTGCAGTGCATCGTGGGAAAGATATAACCCGTAAGTCTTTGTAAACCATGCGTAATGCGCGTGCGCGGCCCCAACAATGTTGGAAGAGCTGTGCAAACGGATCCAACATTGTTGCGCTACGCTTCGGCGATCACGGAACAAAAGAAATGTTGGGAGTTGTTGGCTGAAAAGTTTGACCGGTTTCAAACTTTGCGCAACAACACGCAACGACATCCAACAACATGCAACAGGGTGTGCAAGCGGGCGCAACATTTAACATCCAACAATGTTGGGAGTTGTTGGCCAACAACCAACAACCCCCAACATTTCTTTTGTTCCGTGATCGCCGAAGCCTAGCGCAACAATGTTGGATCCGTTTGCACAGCTCTTCCAACATTGTTGGGGCCACGCACGCTCATTACGCATGGTTTACAAAGACTTAGGGGTTGTATTCTTCCCACGATGCACTGCAGGTCCCAACATTGTTAGGAGTTGTTGCATCCGTTTGCACACCACTGCCAACACGCACGCAACAACTCCCAACATTGTTGGCGCAACAATGTTGGGAGTTGTTGTATCCGTTTGCAGACCACTGCCAACACGCACGCAACAACTCCCAACATTGTTGGCGCAACAATGTTGGGAGTTGTTGCGTCTGTTTGCACGCAGCCTTAATCGATTGATTGAAACCACCGTCAGCAAGTCCATGCGCGATCGTCTTAAAGCTAAGAGAATGTTTCAAATGAATTAAGACTCTTGAATTCTCTTTTGACAACACTACTTGGTCTAAACTGAATAGTTTTGGTGACATTCATTTGTTTCCCTATATATCTCATTATTCTCTTTTGGGAAAGCTTATGTTGTTGTTAAGCTTAACAATACAAGACATATACATGAAACGAATAGAACTTAAAGCAGAACTAGGTTGTAGCCTTTAAAAGCTGTTTCGTCATTTTTGTGGCTCATCAGAGCAGCGAAGCAAATGGGCTGTAAAAAAATCACCCGCAACCTCCCGGAACACGAGATATGAAGTGTTTCGGTTGCTTCGACATGACGGCCCATATCTTGGGGCTTGAACAGACTGTTTCAAGCACACCGTATAACAAATAATATTCGGCATTTTCCAACATCATCCCAGCGGTACCGTAGCAAAGTTGACCTAATGTACATTTCAGTACCCTAATTTTAATACTTTTCTTCAGTGGCAGATGTTAGCTGGATCATGCCCATTGCCTGCCGCTTTAGGGGAACCAGATAGTGGTAAAAGCACGGCATGTAAGGTGGCCTTAGCAGCTACTGGAGGCTGGAAGAAGAATTTTTTCGCGTCTGTTTCTGAGAAGGTGAGACAAAATTATCCTTCACTTGAAAGCCTTTTTAAGTATATTACCTTACCTTTTGTGCCTTGTCTATATTCTAGTATAGATATTACAACGTCAGCATTGCTAAAAGTACTTTTCTTTATATACTATGCTTGACCTCCATGGCAAAAATTCAGCTCAAATTTTGACGGTAAAGTTATAGATCAACTTATTGACTCTTTTGTATCTTTAAGGTTACTGGAAAAATTGCAAGTCAGACAACAATGGGATTTGTGATAGATGATCCTACTAGGCCGCAGGATGTAAGGGAAGCGGCAAAGAAGTTTTTTAACGAAGGTAGTAACATTAACTGCTGTGGCGACTGGACACCTAAATGCTGCCCTCTCATATCCATCAATAACCACGTTTTGGACTGGCTGTCCAAGCCAGAAAGAGAAAGGTACTACTTAATAGAGGTAACATTTAGCTTTAGCTATCAATATCAACGGAACAAACTGGAAATAAGGTTGTCTGAACGCAGGTTTGGGAGTCGGAAGCCGGGTGTTTAGAATTCTTGCAAATGTTTGTAGTTATAAAATAAGTGATTCAACTAGCTTGGGGTAGGCAGTAATGAGGATTGTACGCGTGGCGCGTGTTTTAAGGTGATGTTACACGGGACGATTCGCAACGACCATTTTTAGCGTCATGCAGCGTGGCAACATTGCTGCGACATTGTTGCGAATGGTTATAACATTGTTCCAACATTGCAACGCTGAGTTGCGCTAAAAATGGTCGTTGCGAATAGTCCCGTGTAACATCACCTTTAAAGGGATAGCCTGCTTTCAGGCTACGACTGATTCAGCTAGGTGTCAGATCAAGCAGTTGATTGGTATATACAATAATGCGCAAAGATTCTCAATGTTTCAATTTCTGAAAGAATAAGAAACAATTACATTGCCTCTGACGGATAATGGAATGGGGTTAACAAACATGCAACATATTATAATCATATGCTTAGGAAAATTCCAGTTCATTGGACTTAGAACTAAAAGTACCATGTGTTCCTTCATTTTCAATGCTGGTATAGCTCCTTATATTTCCTAAACACGAGTTATTTGAACTGCAATTGATGAAACGTCAACTTCCACAAAATTCTGAGAAGAATGTTTTAACTGTTAGTGTTTTTTTGCAGACTGCTGTCCCGAATAATTTTCATTCCTTTCGGAAACATTAAGAGGGAGATGAACGAAGAACAATCAGCCCTATGGCAGCAGGTGTTCGACAACCTACTTTCGAAAGTCTCAGCAGTTGTAGGAGACCTTATCGCGGTGGGGGAATGGTTAACTTCGAACGAAGGTCGCCAGCAGTTTAACGACTGCCTTGCGATTGTCGTGGAAGGATTTGGGGAGGAAGGAAAGGGCGCGCGTTTTGCAAAGATGTGGACCTGCGCTCTTATGGCAGCGCTGAAGGTAATCAGGAGTCGTATAGGTCCAACCAACCATTACCCTTTTTTATTATTTTTTGTCGGAAAAGGTAGTTATCCTTTCTCATACTTTACATTGACAAATGGTACCCATTTCACTTTTCTATACTCTTTCACATAACTGGTTTATCATTCTGTATACCTTTCAACTGCTGTAAACGCATTACTTTTTTTAATAAGATTGATTAAATACAATAAGACAGGAAGTTATTTCAATTTTTCATATTCGTAAAAAGCGTTTGCTACGGTCCCTTTAAGTCCCTTACTTACTCAGATAATCCCTATTGTAAAACTCTTTTGCATGTTTGAATCCATTTTATATTGTAAGGTTTGGTTTTGTTCCACAGATGCAGGAGCTAACAACAGCAATCACAGAGGGCGAAATCACTAATTTTTTTATGAAAGTAATACTCCCTCACGTGATGAGATTTCAAAAAGTTGCCATCCATCTTAAATCCGGTGTTGCAATAACATCTGGCCAGCAGCCCAAACCAGGAAAGGAAGCTATTGTAAGTCGGCTGGAAGAGAAACTGGAAGCTGTCGTGAAAAATGCACCTAAAGAACAGGTACAGTCTGTTTCTTCTCTCACTGGATCACACCGACCACTGAAAGTCCATCGAAGGCAGATTCTTCCGCTGGTAGTTCTTACAATACGTGCTGAGAAAGTGCCTGTTTTACAATGCACACCAGTTGTTGAGAGTTAATAACATTCGTTACAAATAGATGTATACATATCTTCCCTTAAGAGGGCGCACTTTAAGGGACGCTTAGGAGGCATTCTTTTACTGATTTATGCAGATGGACGAGCAATGATTATTCACTTGATAACCGCTGCGCTATCTTTTCAGCTGGATAATACACTAAGGTCTGAAGGCATTGCTAGTTATAAGTGTACAAAAATTATTGAGTAAGACAACGTTTTGAGTGCCGCCCGTTTTCTGGTCTTCTGTGTTTCTTCTGGTAATACAGGAAAGACTTCGGAAGAATCGCCGAATATCTGCGACAATAATGAGAGGGCCACATCATCAGGAATAAAGCTATCTCTAGGAATTAAGTCATTCCTTAAACATCATAGTGCGTTTTTAGTTAATTGCCACATTTTCTGAAATTCCTAATTAAAATAATACCTTGCAGAACCTTCAGTTTTTGAGAACTGATTTAAGCACAGGAAAGTTGTCATCAGATGGCACTCCAACACCAGCGATAGGCATCAGAGCCGAAAAGTTCAAGGATAGGTGCGAGGAGAAAAGTATTACGCCAGTAAAACCAAACGACCTGAGGACCACGATACGGGCCTATGGATTGGGTAGGTTAATTTGAAAATCATTGAATATTCATTGATAACAGTCTCAGTCTGTGAATTCCGACTGTTCTCTGCAAACCTGTTGTAGTTGCACGCTAAGTGAGGGACACTTTCGGGAGTTATTACACAAAGTCCGTTCGGGTTAAATGCTAATATTGGCCTTTTATCGACCTTATTGAAAACCAGCCGTGAAGTTTTCATTTTAATCTGAGCCGTACAGAAAACTGCGGTCCTTCAGAAAAAATGTCTCTGCGCAATAGACTTCGCTCCTGGTCAAACGCTTTTTTCATCAAGTTATGGCTCCAGGTCACCCAGTTCTGTTATATATAAATATATACTTGAAAGTAGGGAAGTTAAGTGGGAACTGAAGATAAGGATCGCGTCCTAGAGTTTAGACTGACATGATAAAATTCTCGCCTTGCAGTTCCGTTGTCAATTGAAATTGAATTTGGTCCCTGTGGCTTTGACCCTTCCATTGCCGTTGTCGTGTTGTAATACAGTAATTTTTTTCCTTACCTTGTAATTATCAAATTATGCCAAGTATATTACGCTTACTTATTTTGGTTAATTCATTACAAAATAGGTTTAAGGAAAACGGAGCAAAGATTCCTGTCCCCAAAGGAAAATCCAAAGGAAAATCTAAAAAGAAAGGGTGAGATGAAATTAAAAAGTTGCGTGGTGGTGAAACGGGCGTTGTTCCAACAATCCACCCTGGATCAGCTTGATAGAGGTAAACCGATTAATACTAAACGCACAGTGCTTACGGGCTAAAGAAAAACGTCTTTATTAAATCCCGATATGGACCTTGTGTGACGAACGACGTGAATACCTTGTGAGGTTTATAGACCTTGTTACCACAATACACCATAACCTGTAATGATCGCCCCATTCCGCAAAACAAGGTTTAAAATAACCTATCATTGCTACATTTTTATAATTTGTCTAAACTATCCCTCTTTGGTTCCCCTTATTTCAGCAACAGGAAATCTACAGGAGGAGATGAATGATGTTAGCATGGGGAAGGAGGATGATTCAGCTGATTCAGGTGTGTCTTTTTATCCTATGCCCCGGAATACAGCCAATCAGAGAGCGGGAATCCTTGCATATTAAATTGTTCGGCATACAAGAGTAACATTTTGCAAAAAAAATCTACCACTATGCTTGTGGCATCCACACATGTTCCCGCCGTCAAACGAGCAAGATTTCTTATTCTAGAAAAATTACCAGACGCGACTGGAGAGCACTGTACCGAAAAGTTGACTTTCAATCGCGCGCCCCACAGGTTGTAACGATCAAAGAAGTAAGGTTTACCTGTTAATGTCTTATAACTTGTAAAGAATTACAATACAAGGAATTCTAAATATAGTTTCATCACAGCAATATTTCCCTGGTTTTAACCACCTGCAGCGAGCTTTACATCCAAGCGAGTCAGACTGTTCGATCACTGAATAAATTAACCACCTTGCTTGCTATTCGGCTAAAGATAACCCCTTATTCTTTAGTAGATTTGGAAGCCTTGATCAGAGAAAAAGAGAAGTTGCAGAAATCTATAGCATCGTTAACGAAAGATCATGAAACAGAGATTAAAAGGATTGAATCACAAAACAAAGAATTAAAGGCAAGGGTCTCTGTCGAGCAAGAGGAAAGGAACAAGTTTAAAGAATTACTGCAAGCAAAGGAAGGAGAGATTTCTATGGCAAGGGAGGCCAACGCTGGTAATTAAAACTGTGTAACATACCTCTTTGTAGTCGTAGCCTGTTCAAGGGACTTCTAGTTTCTCTTAAGAAATTGTGGAAAAACTGCGGCGGGTTTATTGAGCACTAATGGAAGTGGTGGGGCTAAGGAAAAGAAGAAAAAAATGTCTTTCTCGCGCTCGTCGTTTTTTCGAAAAACAAAAAGAAAACCAGGTCTGTGTACGGGCTATTGCGTATATTGCCACATCTTGTAATGGCTTACCGCACATCATGAAGGGGGCGGGTTTGGTCAGATTGTTAGATGAATGGAACACTGACAGGGTTTTGGTTCCTTTGCTTTTAACTTCTTAGAGGGTGTTTTTCACATGGATTTCTTTTTAGTGTACTGCATACGATCCAGTGGTAATGATGTCCGTTGATGGCTCCTTTATTCTTTACAGAATTGGAAAGTGCGCTGAGAGAAAAAGAACACTTGGAGAAACCTTTGGCGGGGATGAGAAAAGACTATGAAGCAGAGATAGCAAACTTGAAGTCAGAAAACAGAGAGTTGAAGACAAGGGCCTCGGAAGAGAAGAAAGAAAGGGAGAAGTTTCAAGAATTGGTAAAAGCGAAGGAAGGGGAGATTTTGTCACTTAGAGGAAAACTGGAAGTGATAAAAGGTGAAGTAGCTAGATATTTTCGAATTTGTTGGAAGTTTACTACTAATACAATCACAACGATTGTTATAGAACTGTATCTTTGGGCGGTTTACATGCTGTGTTTTTTCTCATTCGAAAAAGAAGAATAATAATTTGGCTGGAAATAACAATCCTTACTTTCATGATCAAACTTAATTTGTATCGGGCGAATAATATTAACACTGACTGGATACAACATCACTCTGCATGTTTTACGCTTATGATATATTAGTCTTAGAGTCTAGGTTACGCTCCTTTGGCTGGCGTCATGTTGCATGATTAAATATTAGTTTTTTATGTTAGCATATTTTGTTAGCGAAGTCTGCCTCAATAGTAAGAAAAAGCTAATCGCGAGGGCTCACGTCTTTTCGTCGTCTTGTTACAGAACAAAGTTCCACCAAAAGAGCTGCAGATATAGCTGCTGTTAAAGGTATGGGGAGAGTATTTGTTGTGCAATAAATGTAACTATGTTGTTCAGCAACGTACAGTCAAACTTTGTTAATACCGACACTGAGGGGGCCATACAAATAGTGTCTGCATTAACGAGGAGTCCATATCAAACCGGTTGAAAGTAAATTTTAAAAGCAAACTTTCCGTAATAACGTGGTCTCCCTATTAAGTGTGGGTGTTCGTAAAATGGAGTTTGACAGTATTCCTAACGCTTATAGACCTTATAAAAAGATATAGACTAAACTCTTTACGTGCGCCAAATCAGACACATATTACTATCTTTCACTTATATTCAATTATCCCATTATTATTCAGCTCTAGAAGTGTATCAAAAAGGGACATATTAGTGCATAACATTCTCTCTGTGAAGCTGATGAATTGCCTATTTCTGTCCAATTCCTACAGCAGCAGAAATGTTGGTGGTTAAGGTGACTCCGGGAGAGTTCGAGAAGAAAGAGACGGCACGGGGAGGGAAAAAGAGGGATGTGAACAAATGTCCCCCTGTAAGCAAGGCGATTGGCAGCTGTGTACAGTAAAGAAGTGCGGCCAATGGGTGCACTGCCGCTGTGAAGCACAACTAGACACCTCTTACAGCTGCCCATTCTGCAGAGGTCATATGAAGTAAACTTCTCGTGTGAAGTCATGTTTACTTACAGCCAAACCTAGTCAAGCGTACCCCCGAAGATTCTATCAGTGAATTGATTATTTGAAAAATGAATCCGTTAGTCGTTCCCGTAACTGGTGTCAAATTCAAAGCGGCATTTCTGCATGCGTAATGAGCAGTGAATATTTTACGAGAACTTCTCTGTATTTGGTCAGATTGGAAATCTTTGAATGGATTAAGCTTTTTAGAAGACATTTACATCAATTTCAGGAAAATGGAGCTGGTAGAAATTTCATAACTGCCTCGAGTGTGAATTCACGGCTCATTACACATACGATACAAGAATGCAGAGATCAATCTGAAATCTACAACTAGCAACAGATTCAACTTTTGAATAATAAATTCATTAATGGATTCTTGGGGGGTACGCTTGACCTGGTTTGACTGTAAGCCTATGTGCTTATTTTACCACAGGGCACCCACACAATCTGTTTGTGTAGCCGATTGTTATTTTATAGTAAATGTACTGGATTTACCGTTTGCTTCACCTATAGCGATATATCGCCAACTATGTATATAAGTCAATGATAAATAAACGTTGAATTACTTTACCTGTGGTATATAGTCGTCGTTTTACCTCAAAAGCGGTTTTTTGAGCGATTTTGAAGGAGTTTGATTTCGCCGTTGATTATAAGGAACAGTCAACGGCGAATTCAAACTCCTTCAAAATCGCTCAAAAAACGCTTTTGAGGTAAAAGGACGACTATATACCACAGGTAAGGTAAATCAACGTTTATTTATCATTGATTTATATACATAGTTAGCGACATATCGCTATAGTGAGGCAAACGGTAAAGCCAGAACATTTACTATAAAATAACAATCGGCTACACAAACAGATTGTGCAGGCTCCCTGTGATTTTACAGATTGGAACCATTATTTGAAGATTGCACTGATCGATATTTCATTAAAGGTCTCATGAGAAACCGAACCCGTCAATTACCGTCGGAACATTGATTTATGTTGTCCCTGTGCAATTATTTTGTTTGGCCAGGTGTTTCATCTCGATAGTGGTTCCCTCTAAATTTGAAACGTTCTATCTTACTCATAACATTAACTTTAACATGTAAAACAAGCTGAAAACTGGTTGGGCTGTAGCCAAGATAACTAAGATTTAAAAAACCGTTATCTGGCGAAAAATGTTGACAATGTTAGTTGACCTTTTTGATGAAAAGTGTATACACTATACCCTCTCGATCAAGCCAAAAAAAACATCCAAAAATGATTCTTCAAGTACGATACATTTGCATGTTTAACCTGCTAAACTTTTCGAGTCAAACGTGAAGGTGGTTCCGCCTTTCATTGGCATCCTATCTATACTACGTCAATTATTTTCGTATTAGTTAGTTGTCACTAGACCTGTTGAACTTAACGGTTTATGATAACATATGGACACGTCGACTAAGGACAGATCAGCATTCAACATTGTAAGCGGTAAAATAAGGCTTGAAAATAAAGTGTATCAAGTTGAAATTGAAGTTTTTTGTTCTGGTTTACATTTTTCCTATTTCTTGTCATCACAACCGTGAAAACTGTACTTAAGGGACCCAACCGTCGATACACAATGGTGGTCATCGAGTTGTTGGTACAAGCGAAGACAAAATCAGTTGCGACATTTTGCGGCAGAATTTAAAAGAGCTTAAAAGGGGAAATTAAGCTTTCCTTTACTCGATCCCTCCCCACTGGCATTGCGTGACGACCCTAAAAACGGCTGCAGCAGACCAGAAACTCATAATGGGTTTCTGAGCAGACTAAATCCCTCCAAGCAATGCCAACAGATGTCGTTAACCTCAATCTATAATGCATCAGTCAATTCCAGCTGCGCCCAGCGCCCCCCCCCCGCCCCCGCTCCCCCGGACGTTAGCATTTTTTTTTTGCCTTGGATGGCAAATTCCCAGGGGTGGGGACTCTTGAGCTGTCAAATCCCCCGGGGTAGGAGAACCCCAGACCCCATTACAAGGCACTACCGATAATGCCCCCACCCGGTACAAAAAACCTAGCTACATAAGAAAAACTGCTATGAAATCCATAATGAATAATTGCGGGGAATCTTTTTTGCACAGTCAGTTAGCCCGTTGATACCGATTGAGCTTTATCATGTTAGCTTTATTATGACCATTTTTTTTTCATCGTTTTCGATATCTATCGGCCCTCACATGTATCCAGTGTTTTGTCATACAAACGTACTTTGAACACTATGCTAAAACAGAATTATGCTAATTGAATCAAGACAAAAATTGAGTACTTTGTCGAGCTCATGCACCCGAGCTCTCGATTGATAATGTTCCGATAGAACAAGTTACCCCTGCAAAATCGCTTGGAATATTTGTTGATGAAAATCTACGGTGGCAAACGCGCATCGATAAATTATCTAATAGGGTCGCTTCCGGGATGGGAGCAGTTAAAAGAAGTAGAGAATTTGTTCCAACACCTACTCTCCATTGTATATACAACGCTCTAATTCAATCTCAATTCGACTACTGTAATATTGTCTGGGGTAATTGTGGTAAAACTTTAATTGACAGGCGAAAGAAGTTCCAGAACAGGGCTACTCACGTTGTTCTAACCTTTTCTTGATATAATGCTGACCCAACCGCTTATTTAGGCAACTTAATTGGAAAGACTTGAGTACTCAGTTTCAAATACAAAAAGCCTTAATGGCTTACAAGTCTTTACATGATCTTGTTCTTAGCCTGCGAGCAAGCTCTCCGACGTTCTAGGATATTTATCCTCCAAATTTGTTAAACGATATGAAATGCGCTACTCCCTGAGGGAATTACCCTGGGTACCAGAGGTTTTTCTCGCGTGCGGCGGGAATTTTCGGCGTTGGCCGAAGGCCGACACATCTTCGGCCATAAGCCGAAGCCACAAGCGGCGAAGCCGCGAGAAAAACCTCTGGCACGGAGCGATGCTTTTTACCGTCCCCGTTGACCTTTGCGCTTTTTTTTTCTTCTTTTAATGGACATGTTGTGTATGGTAGGGATAGGCTTTTGTTTTGTTTTGCTGTTGTTCAGTCCCTTTGTGCAGTAAGATATTACTGTGATTACCGTATTATTCGCCATTAAATATGTAAGTAGAGTGAACTTTGACTCAACATACCGTAAAATAAAAGTTGAAAATACCATATGAAGGTTTCTTCCACTTAAATATTCCGCTACTTTAACAGAGAATCGCAAAAATTAGTTCCCACCAGAAATTTCAGTCATCTCGAACCGCAAAAATTTGTTCCCGCAAACCACAAAAAATCGCCAATCCGCAAAATAAAACTCCCGCAAAATTTTCATGCTACACGGTATATAGGTTTGTGCCGCTGTGAAGGGTATGATTTTTAAGCAGTTGACTCTGGGATAAGGTATTGAATTAGGAGTGTTTATAGGGTCTAGAATAAGCTATCATTTTCCAGGAAACTGATCAATTGGTTGAAGATTTTAGTTTACACTAGGGAAGCCAGGAATTGCAACTCAAAATTTACGAAAATCAGCCTAAAAGCTACGACAAGTGCGACGGGGTAGACGCAGAAAAAAAGCAACGCTTGTCAACGAACTAGTTTTGTTGCATTTCGCTTCACACATAGCCCACCATTAGGGGTGGGTCCACTTGGCGATCTTTGACCATCTTCAAGTTTGCCTTTCAAAATGTGAGTCTGAACTCAATCACTCTACATCCTAAAGATCTGTTTTATAATCAGGTCTCCAGTGCTATCCAGAACAATGGATGGGTCTCGGAGAGCTTTTCTTTAGGTAGAGGGGTCAGGCAAGGTTGTCCGATGTCGCCATATCTATTTATAATATCGGCCGAGATATTAGCCAACTTCATTAGGAGAGATAAAGATGTAAAAGGTTTTATGACGGGTGAAGTCGAACACAAGCTAAGCCAATTTGCTGATGACACGACGTTGATACTCGATGGCTCAGTGGGCTCTTTTCGTAGAGCAATCGAGGTTCTAGATGGGTTTCAAGTGATTTCTGGCCTTAAGGTCAATTATGAGAAAACCAAAGTGCTCTGGGTGGGTTCGGCAAAAAACAGAGGCCCTATAGAGTGCAACAAGCCTGATATCTCCTGGGTGGAGGGGAAAGTCTTTGCATTAGGTGTGTGGTTCGCAACGGACAGAAACGTAATTCTCCGTTCTAACTACGATGAGAGGATTGGGAAAATAAAAAAACGTTATTGAAACATGGCAATTTAGGAGACTCACCTTATTGGGAAAAATCACTCTCATCAAAAGTCTTCTGGTCTCTCAACTCATTTATATTTTGACTCCGCTCCCTACTTATACAAACCCACTGCAAAGGGTCAACAAACTTCTTTTTGAGTTCCTTTGGGCGGTAAAGGCGACAAGATTAAAAGAGAGCATATCATAAGGGATTATGAGCAGGGTGGTTTGAGGATGATTGATATACATACGTTCAATAAGTCTCTCAAAGCATCCTGGATCAAGAAGTACCTTGACGCGACAAATAATGGAAGATGGAAGTTTTTCTTTGATGTTAATCTTAAAATGTATGGTGGGAAATTTATTTTCTCATGTAATCTACACAAAGATGACATTCCACTGTTAAAAATACGTAATCCTTTTGTATGTGAGGTCATGTCAATCTGGGTGGAATTGCATTTCTCTGATGCTGTAGCCATTTCCATTGCAAATGTGGGCGATCAGATTATTTGGCTTAATTCATTGGTAAGAATTGACAATCAGCCTGTATTCCGTAAACACTGGATGGACCATGGTGTCTGCAAAATTTCTCATCTATTAGATGAGGGTGGGAACCTCCTCGGATATGATGCCATGAAATCAAATTTTCAGGAGTTAAATTGGTTAGAATATTGTAGTATAGCTTCAGCTGTCAAATCACTTATAAATAAGGTGCAAAATGAACCGACGTTCGAGGTTGTTTCCACCGATGGAACATCTATAACTGAATTAACATCTAAAAGTAAAGTTAACAACTTTATTTATAAGTCGCTAGTGAGAAAAAGAATCTCTACA